GTAAGTGAAGAAGCCCAGACCACAGAAGAACCTGAACCTACATGATTCAATTTATGCGAAGTTCTAGACTGGGCACATCTGTCAATGCTAGAAAGAAACCCAATCCTAGACCAGTTTTATCGATCTTGCTGGAAAGAAGGAATACAGACACGAGAAGCATAGGCGATCCTGACAGAGTCATGAAGGGTGGCCGGTGGGATCATATAGAGCGATGGTGAGATTACTCCAAGCACAGTGGAAGGACTGAGGCAGGCCAGATCATTTGAGGTTGGTTGAGCATTTTGAAGAACCAAGCCACCTTGCGCTAGAGACCATATGGTCAAGTAGGTGTAACAGATGGCGTTTCATTTATATATACCGTCTATACGGAAAAAATACAAAAAATTAAGCACAGGCATGGTTTGGCCGTGAAAGGCGCGCCAAAACACATAAAGTATTTAACTAAAAACTCAATTACATACATGAGTTGTCCTAAGGAGCCTAGGTGAGACCAGACAGTGGGACATGGACAACCGCTGTAATCCCAGCTTCTGGGAGGCCAAGGCAGGAGAATTTGCCTTGGAAACCAGGAAGGGTGGAGGTTGCAAGTGAGCCCTGAGATTGTGTTAGCTGCACTCCAGCCTTGAAGGTTGACAAGAGTGGAGACTGGCGCATACTAGAAAAAATGAGGAGCCAAAACCAAGCCAGGCCACTCCACTAAGCACGTCTGTCAGATTATTGTGGCGTGGTGTGTGTCGAATATTTTCAAACCAAACATTAAAAAAAAAAAACAAAGCGGTAATGCTTGACCACTCGAACTGAAAAGGAGACTAATACACTTTTTTCCCATAGGTTTTTTTCGGTTTTTTAGATGCAGTTGCTCCACTCTGTCACTCCGGCTGGAGTGCAGTAACCACAATCTCAGCCTCCACCTGCAAACCCTCCAACCTCCTGGGTCAAAGCAATTCCTCCTAGCCTATGGGCCTCCCAAGAAGCTGGATTACAGGCGCCCGGCCACGCATGGCTGGCCTAATATTTGTATTTTTTAGTAATAGACGGGGTTTCCACGCATGTTGGCCAGGCTGGTCTGCAACTCCAACCATCAAAATCTGTGCCTGCCTGCAGCCTCCCAAAAAGTGCTGGAATACAGGCAGTGAATCCACGCACCAGGTCCCCAATGTATTTCAAGTGGACTACTTGCCCAATTCATTCTACAAAAAGCAAGAAGAAATACGTTCTTCAGGTCTAATGCTCTCGCAACTGACGCTTTTCACTGAAAGACAATTACCGTTCTAAAGTGGTAGCTTATCCATGTTGATGCTCTCAGTAGGAAGGACCAACAAACTTCCACAACGGGTCTCAACCAAGGATCTTTCCCGCTTCGACAACGGGTCTCAACCAAGGATCTTTCCCGCTTCGACAACGGGTCTCAACCAAGGATCTTTTCCGCTTCGACAACGGGTCTCAACCAAGGATCTTTTCCAATTCAACAAGTTTAGGGTGTATACAAGCACCCATTTTTTTAAACCTCAATGGGGATTCTGAAACACAGCCACAGTTATGAACAACCTAATGACAGTCTTACTGAGCTTTCAAAACTACAATACTAAATAAGATCGTTCAGTGGCATTTTGTTGCAGGGCAAAGGCTTCCAAAAAGTGTTTAATATACTCCCAAAGAACACCACAAATGCAGCAAGAAGGTTTTGCAATAAAAATGCCTTCAATTCACATAAAACAATAAAATCCGGGCAGCTTGTATTAACTACCATTTTAGACAACAATCTCCAAAGTAAAAAGCAAAACTTCAAAGAGTTAAGCTCAAAGCTCCTATTCCTATAGCGCATTACAAAATTTCTATAAAATGCATTTTATAATGGTCTTTACAAAATAAAAAACACTAGTTAAAGGCCCTTACCTTTTCTAGGAGGAAGCTCTCCGTTCTGGGTTGATTCTGTTCCAGTGTATACAATTTCTCCATCTTTAACCATTTCGTTCCACAGACCACAGAGCCCATCTCTTGTGAATGCAAGCTGGCAATGATAAACGAGATAAGCTTACAGAGTGCTCACACTCACACTGCAATTTTTAAAGAATGGTAAGGGAAAAAAATCTCAATCTCTCTTATGTATTCAATCACTCAGTAATAAAATCAATGATTTACTAAATTAGTGACTTAATCATTTTACATTTCATGAAAGTCATCCAAGAAATAAAAGTGAAAAGGTGCATAATAGTGTCAATACTAGGCTACCTCTTGTGTAACATACAAGAAAAAAGACACGTGGTCCGGCGAAGTCGCTCATGCCTGTAATCCCAGCACTTACGGGAGGCCAAGAGGGGCAGATCACCTGAGATGAGGAATTTGAGACCAGCCTGGCCAACACGGTGAAACCCCATCTCTACTAAAAATACAAAAGAATTAGCCAGGTATGGTGGCATGCGCCTGTAATCCCAGCTACTCAGGAGGCTGAGGCAGGAGAATCCCTTGAACCCAGGAGGTGGAGGTTGCAGTACGCTGAGATCATGCCACTGCACTCAGCCTCAGTGACAAGAACAAGACTCGGTCTCAAAAAAAAAAGAAAAGAAAAGACAGACACACACAAACAAACACACATGCATGTGCTCTAAAAAGATAAACCAAAAGCAAGTATCAATGACTACCTGTAAGGAAATGGGGAGGGGATATGGGCAAAGGCAGCAGGACCAGAAAAAGCAACAACATTTTAAGTATACTTTGTGTCTTTACTTCTGAAATATACATGACTTTCATCCTCAAAAATGAAAATTAAATTATAAAAAAGCAAAACCTACAACTGGCAACAAGCAAATTAACCCACGCATATACAAAGAAAAGTATGTCAAGGGACTTTTGAACTATACATAATTAATAGAATATACTATAATGAAAAATAAAATCTTATATTTATTGGTATTGATAATATTGTCACAATTTTAGAACTACTTCATGTTGCACAATAAAGCAATGTAAATACAATAAAACATGTTTATGATAAAGTATTAAATGTTATTAGAAATTAAGACTTTAGGCCAGTCATGGTGGCTAACACCTGTAATCCCAGCATTTGGGAGACCAAGGTAGGTAAATCACTTGAGGTCAGGAGTTCAAGACCAGCCTGGCCAACATGGTGAAACCCCACCTCTACTAAAAACAGAAAAAATTAGCCAGGTGTGCTGGTATATGCCTGTAATCCCAGTCCCTCGGGAGGCTGAAGCAGAATAGCACGAACCCAGGAAGCAGAGGTTTCAGTGAGCCGAGATTGTGCCAATGCACTCCAGCCTGGACAAATAGAGCGAGACTCTATCTCAAAACAATAATAATAATAATAATTAAGGTTTTCAGTATAAAAGAGGAAAACTATCAAAGAAATTTTGAAACACAACTTAAATTGGAAATCTATGAACTTTATTTTTGCATATGTTTGCTTACTCTGTTTTCTGGAAGGACCAGAATCAATGGCAACCTGACCTCAGGCACCCAGATTTTGGTCTCTGAGTACCATTTCCCAATAAAAGCAGCTAGGACTCTTGGGGAAAATGAGATTCAAGGGCCGGGGCAGACAAAGATGAGTCTGGAATATCTTGTTTCCTCAAAGAAAAAGCTACTCATGGCCAGGTGCGGTAGCTCACGCCTATAATCGTAGCACTACGGGAGGCTGAGGCGGGCAGATCACTTGAGGTCATGAGTTCAAGACCAGCCAACATGGTGAAACCTCGTCTCTTCTAAAACTACAAAAATTAGTTGGGCATGGTGGCAGATGCCCATAATCCCAGCTACTCGGGAGGCTGAGGCAGGAGAATAGCTTGAACCCAGGAGGTGGAGGTTGCAGTGGGCCAAGACTGTGCCACTGCACTCCAGCCTGGGTGACAGAGCAAGACTTTATCTCAAAAAAAAAAAAAAAAAAAAAAAGGCAGCTGTTCAAAGACTGATAGGGACTCCTGGCCAAATTGATAATAATTATAATAACTGTGAACATCAAAATCAAAAACACCTTTGCTTGTCAACATTTGTGAGTCAGAAAAGGCCCAGAACAGGAAAAGGGGGCATTTCAGACACTGGGGGAAGGCATCCATCCTGAAAACTGTGTATGCAACAGAAGCCCCCTTGTCTGGCAAAAAAAAAAAAAAAGCCATTTTTAATTAAAAGAGATGTTTGCCCATCTTTTTTTTTTTTTAAACTTCTGTGGATACACACTAGTTGTATGTATATATGGGTATGTATATATGTATATATGAGCGATTTTCATACAGGCATACTATGTGTAATAATCACATCAGAGTAAATGGAGTATGCATTTATCCATTGTGTTACAAACAATCTAATTATACTTTGTTATTTTTAAATGGACAATAAATTGACTGTAGTCATCCTGTAATGCTGTCAAGTACTAGATTTTATACATTCTATCTAACTCTTTTTTTTTTTTGAGACGGATCTTGCTCTGGCGCTAGGCTGGAGTGCAGTGCTGCGATCTTGACTCAGTGCAACCTTCACCTTTCAGGTTCAAGCGATTCTCCTGCCTCAGCCTCCCGAGTAGCAGGGACTACAGGCTCATGCCACAATACCCAGCTAATTTTTGTAGTTTTGGTAGAGATGGGGTTTCACCATGTCGGTCAGGATGGTCTGGGTCTCTTGACCTCATCATGATCCACCTGCCTCGGCCTCCCAAAGTGCTGGGATTACAGGCGTGAGCCACTGCACCCAGCCCTATCTAATTCCATTTTTATACCCATTAACTGTCTGTACTTCACCCCCACTTTATCCTTCCCTGTCTCTGATAACCATCATTCTACTCTATCTCCATGAGTTCAATTGCTTTCATTTGCTTAGCTCCTACAAATTAGTGAGAACATGCAAAGTTTGTTTTTCTGGATCTGGCTCATGACATTCTGTCCCTGACTTAACATAATGACCTCCAGTTGTATCCATGTTGTTGCAAACGACAGTATCCCATTCTTTTTTATGGTTGAACAGTACTCCATTGAGTATATATACTACATTTTCTTCACCTGTTCATCTGCTGGGGGACACTAAGGTCGCTTCCAAATCTTGGCTATTGAAAATAGTGCTGCAACAAACATGAGAATGTACATATTTCTTCAACATACTGATATTCTTTCCTCTGGGTATATACCTACCAGTGGGATTGCTGAATCATATGACAGTCCTATTTTTAGTTTTTTGAGGAACCTCCAAGCTAATCTCCATAATGGCTGTGCTAATTTATATTCCCACCAACAGCGTACAAGGGTTCCCTTTTCTCTATATCCTTGCCAGCATTTGTTCTTGTTTGTCTTTTGGATATAAGCCATTTTAATTAGGGTGAGATAATATCTCATTGTAGTTTTGATTTGCATTTCTCTGATGATAACTCATGTTGAGCACCTGCTCATATTGCCTGTTTGTCATTTGTGTATCTTCAGAAATGTCTATTCAAATCTTTTGCCCATTTGTATTGGATTATTAGATTTTTTTTTCCTACAGAGTTGCTTGAGCTTATATATTCTGGTTATTAATTCCTTGTCCAATGGGTAATTTGCAAGTATTTTCTCCCATTCTGTGGGTTGTCTTTTCATTTTGTTGACTGTTTCCTTTGCTGTGCAGAAGCTTTTTAACTTGATGTGACCCCATGTGTCCATTTTAGCTTTGGGTGCCTGTGTTTATGAAGTATTACTCAAGAAATCATTACCCAGTGCAATGTCCTGGAGAGTTTCCCCAATGTTTTCTTTTAGCATTTTCATAGTCTGAAGTCTTAGGCATAAGTCTTTACCCTATTTTGACGTGATTTTTGTATGTGGTGACAGAGAGCAGTCTAATTTAATTTTTCTGCATATGGGTGTCTCATTTTCCCAGCACCATTCATCAATAAGACTATCCTTTCCCTCATGTATCCTCCGGATGCCTCAAAGATGAGTTCACTGTAGATGTATGGATTTATTTCTGGGTTCTCTATTCTGTTCCATTGGTCGACGTGTCTGTTTTTATACCAGTACCATGCTGTGTTGGTTATACCTTTGTAGTAAACTTTGCACTTGATCTAAGCCAAAAAAGACCAGGAAGTGATTGTAGTATAATTTCAAGTCAGGTAATGCAATTTCTCCAGTTTTGTTTTTTGCTCAGGATGGCTTTGGCTATTCTCTTTTATGATTCTATATAAATTTCAGGATTTTTTTTCTATTTCTGTGAAGAATGTCATTGGTATTTTGATAGGGATTACATTGAACCTGTAGATTGCTCTAGGTAGTACAGACATTTTAACAATATTGATTCTTCCAATCCATGAACATGGAGTATCTTTTCCTTTTTTGTGTGTCTTCTTCAATTTCCTGCATCAGTGCTTTACAGTTTTCATGGTAGAGATCTTTTCACTTCTTGGGTTAGGTTTATTCCTACGTATTTTACTTTATTTGTAGCTATTATAAATGGAATCATTTTTCTTGATTTATTTCTCATACTGTTCACTGTTGACATACAGAAATGCTACTGATTTGGCCGGGTGCAGTGGCTCATACCTGTAATCCCAGCACTTTGGGAGGCCGAGGCTGGCGGATCACCTGAGGTCAGGAGTTCAAGACCAGTCTGGCCAACGTGGTGAAACCATGTCTGTACTAAAAATACAAAAACTAGCCAGGTGTGGTGGCAGGCGCCTGTAATCCCAGCTACTCAGGTGGTTAAGGCAGGAGGATCGCTTGAACCTAGGAGGCAGAGGTTGCAGTGAGCCAAGAGTGTGCCACTGCTTTCCAGCCTGCGCCACAGCGTGAGACTCCACCTCAAAAAAAAAAAAAAAGAAAGGAAGAAAGAAATGTTAATGATTTTAGTATGTTAATTTAGTACCCTGCAATTTTACTGAATTTATTAGTTCTAATCATTTTTTGGTGGAGTTTTTAGGTTTTTCCAAATATAACAATCATCTGCAAACAAGAATAATTTGGCTTCTTCATTTCCAATTTGGATGCCCTTTATTTTTTTTTTAATTTTTTTCTGAGATGGAGTCTTGCTCTGTAGCCCAGG